CTTGTTGTGGTAACATCTTGTGGAAGCTAGCTTAGTATACGACTTTTCCCCCTGTTCCAACACTGGACACCTGTACCGTTTTCCGACGTTTTTCCGTTTCTGTACCACACAAGCGAAGACACTTATTTTGAGTGGTACCACGCGCGTGGCGCCAGCATACCACAGGACTTGTTTCCGTTGTTGTGAGACGATACATGCTCATTCTTGTTCTGCGGTTGTCGTTCCGGCCTCAATGTGCAACACTGGCTCATTCGTCTACGAAATACACGTGACTAGCTCTCTCTGGTTGGAGGTCCTGATGGTTGTGGTTGTTCCGATGGTTGTCGCGATGATTGTCCCGATGATTGTCCCGATTGTTGTTCCGATGGTTCTCCCGATGGTTGTCCCGATGGTTGTCCCGATCGTTGTCCCGATGGTTGTCCCGATGGTTGCCCCGATGGCTGTCCTGATGGTTGTGGTTTCACCGACGCATGCACATCGCACCACTGTCTCAACACTCCTCGGGACACCAAGACAGCTTTCCGTCGCATACGCAACACGGCATGCAACGCGCGGCACTTCAGCCCTGGATATACCGCGCGCATGTGGTCACCAAGTGCCGCGTCGAGCTTTTCAGCCGTGTCATACTGCAAAGGTCCAGAGTCAGGGTGATACTTCACGTACCATTGCCTCAAAACCATGCCGCTGACAGCAGCGGGAGGATCGCTCTCCGAGAGAAGCTGCGAGAGGACCACCGCGGCGGCCTCATCGGCGAAGCTCCCCCGATACTGATTGAGTCGAAGACGCTGGCCTATACAGTCCTCCACAGCTTGGGCAGTGTTCAATGCTCCCTTGTCGCCCCACTCCGTGCTGAGCCACTTCTGGCATACCCTGGCGTCAGCAGATACAGATAAATGTCCCAGGAGCCACTGCTTCAACACGGCCCCGTCAGTAGTCCCCTCGGGCATGTCTTTGCGAATACGTTCTCCATACCAGGTCCCCAGATGGCCAGCGTTCTGCACTTTGACAAGCGTCTCTTTGGAAGAATACTGCAGTAGCCACATCTTTGCGGCCTGATCTGTCACATACAGTGGTGGATCCAACTGTCGGAGCGCCCCGCATAATTTGAAAGCTGTATTATACTCGATGCCCAGGTGGCGGATGGCAGAACCGTGCTGCTCCTCCAGCTCCTGGGCGCTAGAAATACTAACCTTGCCAGGCACAACCCGATACTTGCCCCACCAAGTCTTGCACGCCTGGTGACCGACCTGGATACCCTTTGCAACGAGCGCCTGATGCAAATAATACGGGCTCTCGCAGTCGGCCAAGGGAGGCCGCGACAGCTCCGGGCCATACTGCTCGTCAAGGGCTTTCGCCGTCAAAGCCATGGACCATCCAAGAACACAGGCGATACCTTGATCCGAGATGGCTACGGATGTGCCAGTGATCAGTCGGAAGCTTCCTGGGGCCGCTTGGGGTCCTCTTGGGGAAGGGGGGAAGCCTCCTGGCGCCGCTTGGGGTCCTCTTGAGGGGCTTTGGGGGGCTTCTTGGAAGCATCTTGGGGCCTCTTGGGGGCTTATTGGGTCCTCACGGCGGGCTCTTGGGGCCTCTTGAAGGCCTCCTGGGGCAACCTATGGCGCAACCAGTAGGGATGTTTTATTCTCGGCGGCCGAGGGCGCAACCTATGGCGCAACCAATAGGGGGACGTTTTATTCTCGGCGGCCGAGGGCGCAACCTATGGCGCAACCGCAAGGGATTGTGGCCCCTGGCAGGCGCGCGAACCCCGTTGCAAGAGCGTGCGAAAGTAGCTCGCGCGAGCTCATGTAACATAAATGTTGGAAAACCATTGGTTTTTTTAGGATTCGGACAGCGCGCGCGGGTGGAAATTTTGAAAAGTCGTGCAGGTGTTTTTCGAGGACCTACGGTGCGATTCGTGTGATTTTATGATGCGCGGTGCTAAATTCTTAAGAAGCCCAATGGTTTTTGGAGATTTCGGCGTGCGCGCGCGAAGAAAAAAAATGTGTCCCGCATGGTATTATTTGACAGGGATGATGGCCCTGGCAGGTGCGCAACCGTTGTCGCAGAAGTTCGAAAAAGTTGCTCGCAAAAGCCCGTTTGACAGAAATGTTTAAAAAGTGTTGGGTTTCCTACGAATCCGCAAGAGCGCGCGGGATGAGATTTTGACATTTTTTTGTTGAAAAACCATTGTTTTTTGATGTTTTTATGTTAAAATCGCTCCGAACACTAAGCTTTTGGAAGGATTTCGTCTTGCGCGCGCGAATGTCCACTTTACCTTATTTTTTGCAAGGGATTCTTGAAATTTGATTATATTAGAACAAGAAATGTCATTTTCTATTGTTTTTTGCAAGGGAAAGCGGATTACAACAAAACAACCGGATCCTGTACACACCCTCTTTTCTGAGGCTTCCTCACGAAAATGATGAAAATGTAGCTGCGGCCTAGGCGGCGCAGGGGGGGCGCGCACCAGGGGGCCCAACAATAATTATTCGTTAGAATGAATAATGTTCAACAACAACAACAACAACAACAACAAACAACAACAACAACAACAAACAACAAACAACAAACAACAAACAACAAACAACAAACAACAAACAACAAACAACCAACAACCAACAACCAACAACCATCAACAACAACAACACAAACAACAACAACAACAATCACTTACCCGAAAAACGCTCAGTGTTCTCACCAGTGCCAGGGTTTTCATGCGACGCCAGCCAATACCCCCCACTTTGTGGGGGGCAGTGCAAGCCTCTACCAATATCCACACGACTCTTCGCCCACACCACACCCAGCTTCCCGCCCTATGACGTTCGGACACTTCACTTCGTGGCCTGCGGACGACCGTGGCTACTACACTGGCGTGGAGAGTACACACCCACAGAAGTTGTTAAGCCTACGTTCGTACACCCACAGAAGTTCTTAAGCCTTGTTAACCCACAGAAGTTGTTAAGCCTTCCACAGAACATCTGTTGCATATGATGCATATGGTACATGATACACATGATACACATGATACGTACTCAGCAAGGGATTGTGGCCCCTGGCAGGCGCGCGAACCCCGTTGCAAGAGCGTGCGAAAGTAGCTCGCGCGAGCTCATGTAACATAAAAGTTGGAAAACCATTGGTTTTTTTAGGATTCGGACAGCGCGCGCGGGTAGAAATTTTGAAAAGTCGTGCAGGTGTTTTTCGAGGACCTACGGTGCGATTCGTGTGATTTTATGATGCGCGGTGCTAAAATTCTTAAGAAGCCCAATGGTTTTTGGAGATTTCGGCGTGCGCGCGCGAAGAAAAACGAATGTGTCCCGCATGGTATTATTTGACAGGGATGATGGCCCTGGCAGGTGCGCAACCGTTGTCGCAGAAGTTCGAAAAAGTTGCTCGCAAAAGCCCGTTTGACAGAAATGTTTAAAAAGTGTTGGGTTTCCTACGAATCCGCAAGAGCGCGCGGGATGAGATTTTGACAATTTTTTGTTGAAAAACCATTGGTTTTTTGATGTTTTTATGTTAAAATCGCTGCGAACACTAAGGTTTTGGAAGGATTTCGTCTTGCGCGCGCGAATGTCCACTTTACCTTATTTTTTGCAAGGGATTCTTGAAATTTGATTATATTAGAACAAGAAATGTCATTTTCTATTGTTTTTTGCAAGGGAAAGCGGATTACAACAAAACAACCGGATCCTGTACACACCCTCTTTTCTGAGGCTTCCTCACGAAAATGATGAAAATGTAGCTGCGGCCTAGGCGGCGCAGGGGGGGCGCGCACCAGGGGGCCCAACAATAATTATTCTTTAGAATAAATAATGTTCAACAACAACAACAACAACAACAACAACAACAACAACAACAACAACAACAACAACAACAACAAATCTGGAATCCCCCGCTTCTTTGCGTGCTTCGGTTCGTCGCCACACTCTTCGCCACGTCCCCGCACCCCCGTTCGAGGCCTCCTCCAGGCAGCTCAGCGCACAGCGTCGAACGGCCTCGCGGACGCGACGTGCCCGAGGACCCGGGGAGACAGGGAAGAGGACAGGCCAAGAGAGAGAGAGGGGAACGGAATCCTCCTCCTCCTCCTCCTCCTCCTCCTCCTCCTCCTCCTCCTCCTCCTCCTCCTCCTCCTCCCTCCCTCCCTCCCTCCCTCCCTCCTCCCCTCCCTCCCCTCCCTCCCTCCCTCCCCTCCCTCCCTCCCTCCCTCCCTCCCTCCCTCCTCCCTCCCTCCCTTCCCTCCCTCCTCCTCGAACCTAAGATACACCAACGATGCTGCAAGACCACCTCCCGTCCCAGAAGCCCCCCCTGGCCATCGCTCGGACGTCCATTCCCTGTGTGTTTTTTTGGTTCCGTGCGTGATTCGTTCGCCAACTGATCAAGGATGCTCCTCGATGGTCCTCGTCGAAGGAAAAATGCACACGTCCGAGCGATGCCAAGCTCCCCTCTCAGAAACTCCCTGCGAGCCTCCCCTCGTGACTGCAAGAGGCACTCGCCCGGAAAGGCCGGCACCCCGTGGGTGTTCTGCCGCTCCGTCAAGGGGCCCCGGCTTTTTCGAGGAGCAACTGCCTGACAGCCTCCTCTGACGAGCTGTCCCCCTCCCCTCCCCCTCCACCTCCTCCTCCCCCTCTCCTCCCCTTCCTCCCTCCCCCTCCTCCTCCCCCTCCTCTCCTCCTCCTTCCTCCTCCTCCTCCTCCTCCTCCCTCCCTCCTCCTCCCTCCTCCTCCTCATCCTCCTCTCCTCCTCCCCCCTCCCTCCCTCCTCCCCCTCCCCCTCCCCCCTCCCCCCCCTCCTCCTCCTCGACACAGCCCTGCGCGACGATGAGTCTCGCCGCACACCTTTGAGCTGGATGGGTGGCGCTTCCCCTTTGATGCGGGGCCATTACCACTTGCGCCA